GCTGTATCTGGGAGAGGGGTCAGAGAAGGAATAGGGCTACTTGCCCAGCTCTTGGCTGGCTTTCAGTCACTTCCCCTGGTACCCACAAGCAAATTGGGCCCTTCTGGTGCTGATTCCCAGGTGGGTAGGTTTATGTATGTTCTAGGAACCTGTGGGTCTCTCCAATGAACTCTCCTGTGGGGCTGGGAGTCTCTCCCACTGCTACAACCCCCACTGATTTTTACAGCCAGAGGTTTGGAGTCTTTCTTTTCCTGTGCTGGAACCCTGGTTTGCATGGTCTGTCTTGCTCCCCTGTTGTTCCTCCTGGTTTACCCACATGCAAATGTGGGACTGCCAACTGCTGTTTTGCCCACCCAGTCCTCTAGCCACCACCATGCCATGTGTCATCTGTGCCCTGGCTTCCCATCTGCGCCCCCTACTTCCCAACTCCGTCCTTCCTACCAGTCTGGATGAGTATTTCTTTAACTCCTTGATTGTCAGACTTCCATACAGTTCAATTTTCTGGAAGTTCTGGTTGTTTTTTTGTTTTTAAATATGTTGTCCTTCTTTTGGTTGTGCAAGGAGGTGAAGTGTATGTACCTATGCTTCCATCTTGGCAGGAGGTCTTCATTGTGGTTTTGATTTGCATTTCTCTAATGATTAATGATGTTGAGCATCTTTTCAAGTACCTGTTGGCCATTTGAATGTCGTCTTTGACAAAAATGTCAGATTCTCTATTTTTTAATTGTTCTTCTTTTAGCTATTGAGTTGTATGATCTTTATACATTTTGAATATTAACCTGTTATCAGATAATATGATTTGCAAATATCTTTTCCCATTCCATAGTTACCTTTTTATTTTGTTGGTTTCCTTTGCTTTGCTTTTACATTCAAGACTTTAATATATTCCAACTGTTGTGTATAGTTGAAGATAGAGGTCCAGTTTCCCTTTTTACATGTGGCTGCCCACTTTCCCCAATGTAATTTATTTCAGAAACTATCCTTTCCCCACTGTATAGTCTGGTTCTTATGTTATAAATTAACTGACCATATATGTGCAGGTTTACTTCTGGGCTCTACATTCCATTCCATTCATCGATGCATCTGTTTCTTTTTTCTTTTTATGCTTATACCATACTGTTTTGATTACTATAGCCTTAATATAGTTTGAAGCATCAGCATGATACCTCTGGCTTTGCTCTTCTCTTTCAAGACTGCTTTGGTTATTCTGGGTCTTTTGTGATTCCATACAAATTTTAGGATTGTTTATTTTGTTTCTGTGAAAAATGCCATTGGAAATTTGACAGAAATTATATTGAAACTGTAGATTATTTAGGGTAGTATGGGCATCACCTATAGTTTTAACACTTGAAGACAATCTATATACATCAAATTCACCTGTGTTAAGTGCATACATCAATTATTTTAAAAGTTTACTAAATTGTACAAAAATGACAATTTAGTTTTAGAACATTTCATTACTCCAAAGAGATCCCTTGTGCCCATTAGCAGGCAATCCCTGTTCCTAACCCTGCTCATACAACTGCCATTTTAGTACCTGTTTTAGAGATTTTCCTTCTCTGATATTTTACAAAATGTACTTCATATGGTTTATTGTGTTAGACTTATTTCACTTAGCATAATGTTTCCTAGGTTTTTCTGTATTATAGCATGTATCAGTACTCCACTGTATGGATTTTTGTTTATCCATGTACCAGTTGATGGTCATTTAGTTTTTTTCCCTAGTATGAACAATGCTGCTATGAACATTTGCCTATAAGTATTTGTGAACATGTTTTCACTTCTTCTGGGATTGAACTCCAAGTGGAATGTCTTCTTCTTTTTTTTAATGTTTATTCTATTACAGTTGTTCCATTTTTTTTCCCTTTCACCTCCACACAGCCCACCCCTCTCACCCAGAGTCACTATGCTCTCCCTTGTCCATGAGTTGTTCATACAAGTTCTTTGACTAGTCCCTTCCCCCTTCCTTCCACCATTTCCCCATCACCCCACCTACAGCTATCAGTCTGTTCCATGTTTCCATCTCTCTGGTTCTATTTTTCTCATTAGTTTATTTTGTTCATTAGATTTCAAATGAAGTCATACAGTATTTATCTTTTGCCGACTGGATTATTTCACTTAGCATGATAGCCTCCGGTTTTATTCATGCTGTCGCAAAAGGCAGGAGTTCTTTCTTTCTGCTGCACGGTATTCCATTGTGCAAATGTACCACAGTTTTTTAATCCACTCATTTACTGATGGACACTTGGGCTGTTTACAACACTTAGCTATTGTAAATAGCACTGCTCTGAACTTAGGGGTGCATAGGTTCTTTTGAATTGATGTTTCAGGATTTTTAGGGTATATTCCCAGCAGTGGAATTGCTGCATCAAAAGGCAGTTCCATTTTTAGTTTTTTAAGGAAATTCCATACTGTTTTCCACAGTGGCTGCAACAGTCTGCATTCCCACCAACAGTGCACTAGGGTTCCCTTTTCTCCACATCCTTGCTGGCACTTGTTTGTTGATCTATTAATGATAATCATTCTGACAAGTGTGAGGGGGTATCTCATTGTGGTTTTAAAGATTTTATTTATTTTTAGAGATGGGAAGGGAGAGACAAACATCAATGTATGGTTGCCTCTTGCGCACCCCCTACTGGAGACCTGGTCCGCAACCCAGGCATGTGCCCTACACTGGGAATCTAACCAGAGACCCTTTGGTTCACAGGCCAGCACTCAATCCACTGAGCCATACCGGCCAGGGCTCATTGTGGTTTTAATTAGCATCTCTAGTGGCTACAGATGTTGAGCATCCTTTCATCTGTCTATAGGGTATGTGTATATCCTCCTTGGACAAGTGTCTATTCAGGTCCTTTGCCCATTTTTTAATTGGGTTATTTGTCTTCCTGATGTTGAGTCATGAGTTCTTCATATATACTCTGGAGATTAAACCCTTATCCCATGTATCACTGGCAAATATGTCCTTCTCACTTTTCATTTTGATGATGGTTTCTTTAGCCATGGCAGAAACTTTTTAATTTGATGTAGTCCCATTTGTTATTTTTTCTTATATTTACCTTGCCCTAGACAGGGGTGTCCAAGCTGTGGCCCATGGTCTGCATGTGATTCAGGGTGGCAATGAATGCAGCCCAACACAAAATCGTAAATTTACTTAAAACATTTTTTTTCATGATTACATGTTGCAATGTATTTAATGTGTGGCCCAAGACAACTTGTCTTCTTCCTGTGTGGCTCAGAGATCCCAAAAGGTTGGACACCCCTGCTAGGAGATACATTGGCAAAAATATTGCTACATGAGATGTCTGAAATTTTACTGCCTATGTTTTCTGCTAGGACTTTTATGGTATCATGACTTATATTTGTCTTTTGTCCATTTTGAGTTTATTCTGGTGTATGGTGAAAGTTGGTGGTTTAGTTTCATTTTTTTGCAGGTACTAGTCCAGATCTCTCAGCACCACTTACCAAAGAGACCATTTTTACTCCATTGTATGTTCATGCCCCCTTTGTGAAATATTAGTTGACCACAGAGACATGGGTTTATTTTTGGGCTCTCTATTCTGCTCCATTGATATGTGTCTGTTCTTAGGCCAGTACCAGACTGTCTTGATTACAGTGGCCTTGTAGTTTAGTTTAATATCAGGTATTGTGATCTCTCCAACTTTGTTCTTTCTCAGGATTGCTGAGGCTACTTAGTCTTTTTTGGCTCCATATAAATTTTTGGAGTATTTGTTCTAGATCTGTGAAATCTGCCATTGGTATTTTAATTGGAATTGCACTGAATCTATAGATTGCTTTGGGTAATATGGACATTTTAATGTTAATTCTTCCAATCATGCACACGGTATATACTTCCATTTATTTGTATCTTCCTCAATTTCTCTCTTTACTGTTCTACAGTTTTCTAAGTACAGGTCTTCTACCTCCTTGGTTAAATTTACTCCTAGGTACTTTATTTTTATTGTTGCCATAGAAAATGGATTTTTAAAAAGTTTCTCTTTCTGATAATTTATTGTTGGTATACAAGAACACCATCGATTTCTGAATGTTGGCTTTGTATCCCACTACTTTGCTGAATTTACTTAATCAGCCAAGTGGAATTTCTAGATCATATGGTAAACTTATATTTAACTTTGGAAAACCTGGCTGTGCCATTTTACATTCCCACCAGCAACACATTAGGGCTCCATTTTCTCCACATCTAACCAACACTGTTTGTCCTTTTTATTTTATTCATCCTAGCGGGTGTGAAGAGGTATTTAATTTTGATTTTAACTTGCATTTCCCTAATGATTAGTGATGGTGAGGATCTTTACATATGCTAAGCCATTTGTATATCTTCATTGCTGAAATGTATTCAAATTTTGGCACATTTTAAAACTGAGTTGTCTCGTCTACGGCCATACCACCCTGAACGCGCCCGATCTCGTCTAAAACTGAGTTGTCTCATATTTAAGAATTCTTTATATATGCATGTTCTGGATTTGTCCTTTGTAAATATAATTAAAATATTTTCTCAGTCTATGGTTTATCGATTTTCCTAACTTTTTGAAGTGTATAAGTTTTAAATTTTGAAGCCCAACTTATTAATATTTCCTTTATGGATTGTGTTTTTGGGATCTCATCTAGAATTCTTTTCCTAAACCAAGGCCATGTAGGTTTTCTCCTGTTCTGTAAGTTTTATAGTTTCAGCTCTTATATTTAGGTCTCTGATCCATTTTTAATTTATTTTTGCACATGGTAGGCGGTAAGGGTCTAAATTTTATCTTTTTTTGCATTTGATATCCAAAGTCCCAGCACCTTAGTTAAAAAAAAAAAAAAAACAAACCAAAAAAATCCCCAAACAAACCAACAATTGACCATAAATATGAAGGCTTACTTCTAGATTCTCAGATTTAGTTCTACTGATGTTTATGTCTTTATATCAATATCACACTGTCTTGATTACTATAGCTTTGTAATAAGTTTTGAAATCAGAAACTCTTCCTCATTTTTTAGAACTGTTTTGGCTATTCTGGATCCTTTGCATTTCTCTAGAAATTTAAGGATCAGCTTGCCAATTTTTTAAAAAAGCTTGCTGGGGTTTTGACAGGGTTTGCAGTGATCTATATAGATCAATTTGGGAACAAATTGTAATCTTAACAATATTGTCATCTTAACAATATTGTCATCTTAACAATATTGACTTAAATTTATGAACATGGAATATCTATCTTTATTTCTCTAAATGTTTACAGTTTTCATTGTTCAAGTCTTACACTTCTTTTGTTAATTCTTAAGTATTTAATTCTTTTGGTGGAATTGTGGATGAAATTGTTTTCATTTCATTTTTGGATTTTCTCTTGCGAGTATACAAAACCACAGTTGACTTTTGTACATTGATGTTGTAGCCTGTGACCTTGTAGAGCTTGTGGATTCCTGTTTGTTGAGCTTCCCACTGTACTAGGCTTTCTGGCCTCTTTCCATGGCTGGGCTTTTTAGCAGCTGTCATTCTTCCAGCGTCCAAGAATATAGCTCTGATTGTTTTGTTTTTGTCTCTGCACTAAAGCTGCCCAAATTGTCTGAGGCCCCCATAACCACCCTGGAGGCCCTGCTAACTTGCATGCTTCAATGTATGTGTTGAAAAAGCAGTGTAAATTCTAGATTGTCTCTCTTGAAAACATACTACACGTTCTTCTTTTCAAAAAAATTTCCTTGAGTCCAGAAAGTTCTAGGAAGCTCCTGTTTTGGACTTGTGGTTAAACACAATACACGACAGTCAGCTTCTTTAAAAGAATAATGACTAGACTTCCAAAGGGCTTCATCTTCAATAGCATTTATTGGCCTCTTTAATATTCTTTAGAGTTTAGCCTATGAGGCCAAAATAGGATTTCTCTCAAATTTTTTGTCAAGTGACATAAGCACTGGAATCATGCAGAAAAAATAAAAGGCCATCCTATTTTCTTGAATATTCATTTAAGTTTTAAGTCTTCAATTTTCATTTTCAAATAAAAATACTATGTCTTATAGCCAGGGATGCAAGGACTTCATTATCCTTGTGGAATAATAGTTCTTCTCTGGGACGTTACTCGTACAGCTAGGAACTGGGAGGCAAGGGGCTGAAATCTAAGAAGGTAGAGGTTTTTCACAGAATAAAGCTAGTTGCCAGTCACCACCAGACCATCACTGTGGCTGGAATTCCAGAAATGGTGTACAGAAATTCATTTTCTACTCATTCTTCATGGATTATACCTGTGAGGCAAAAAAGGACAGTCTGAATAAACATCTAAAATATTTTACTAGCTTTTGGAAATGCTGACTTTTCCCAATATACAGTCTATTTTTCTTCATTATGTAGCAACAATAATTTGGAGGGAACAGACCCAAGTTCATACACAACTTGAGGGGTAGGCGTTGATAGGCCTAGGTCAATGATAAAATTCTCCTCTCTCCTACCCCTTCCAAGAATAAACAGGTTAGCTCACAGCATTCCTGTAGCCATGTGGATTGGTTCAGGGGTGCCCTGAATTAGTGTGAAGTTCAATACTCTCACTTGGACAGTGTCATACTCTATATTATATAGAGTGGGGCAAAAGTAGGTTTACAGTTGTGATTATGCAAAATAGTTTATTCTTTTATTATTGTTTATTAATTACTGCATTATTTTCCACATGAACAACTGTAAACCTACTTTTGGCTCATCATGTATAAAGCTGAGAACTACTGAGCAATTTGCTGCCTATAGTAGACAGCTTCTAAGATGACCCCTAATGATCTTTTGCCTCCTGGTATTCATGCCCTTATACAATCCTTTCACCATAAGTGTGACCTACTGATTAATTTGTAACTAGTCATGGATTACAGTAAAAGTGATGGGATGTCACTTCTGAGATTAGTTACAAAAAGAGCATGTTTCTGTCTTGGGTTATTGTCTCACTCTGAGGGAAGACACATGCCAAGTTGTGAGATGTACCATGGAGCGATCCATGGCAAGGAATTGCAGGAGGTCTCTAAAAAATGGTCAGTGAGAAACTGAGGTCCTGGGTTTAACGTGTGAGGAACTAAATCTGCCAATAACCACATCAATGGGCTCAGAGAAGGGCCTTTAGGGCCTTCTGCCATTTGGGCCTTTAGATGACATCATAGCCCTGGCAGACAGCTTAACTGCAACCTCGTGAGGGACTCTGAGCCAGAGGCCCTAAACTATGTCCAGATTCTTTACAAAAAGAAAGATAAAAAATTGTTTTAAGCCACTAAGTTTTGGAGTAACTTGTTAAGTAACAAAAGAAGATTAATATACCACCACAAGAAAAAATAGTTTGAGCTGGATTTTCTTTTCTGTTATTAGCAACTAAAAGCATATTCATACACTAGCTAGTAGCAATTTAATCTCGAAAAGGTTATTAAACATTAAAATCTTTCTATTCAAATAAGCTTATAGCTTTAAGTCATGTGAACAGAAAAAAATCCATCCACCTAGTTACAACCATCTCCATTCCTCGTATGAAAAATTAGATAATAAGACCTCCTCATTCACCAGAATTCCTTTCTCAGCAGAAATTTTACAGGCCAGAAGAGAGTGGCATGATATATTTAAAGTGTTGAAAGAAAGTAACCTAGAACACTATTCCCAGCAAGGTGATCATTCAGAGTTGAAGGATAGAGAGTTTCCCAGATGAGCAAAAATGAATGGAATTCCTCACTACTAACCCAGCTTTATAAGAAATGTTAAAGGTTAAAGGATCTTCTTTAAGCAGAAAACAAAAGCCATAACAAGAAAAAAAATTAATGGAAGAAAAAAATTTCACAGGTAAAGGTAAAAAATATAAGATACACCCAAATCAGCCATTTGAAAGCTAGTATGAAGATAAAAGTAGCAAAATTAACTACAACGACAATAAATGGGGAATAAACAAAACATCTAAAATATGACATAAAAAATATAGAGCATGGAGGGGAAGAATAAAAATGTGTTTTTACACAACTCCACACCAGGAAGACAAACAATCCCATTAAAACAATGGGCACAGGACTTGAACAGACACTTCTCCAAGGAGGACATACAGAGGGCCCATAGGCATATGAAAGGATGCTCAACATCACTAGCCATCAGAGATGCCAATTAAAACCACAAAGAGCTACCACTTCACACCTGTCAGAATGGCCATCATTAACAAATCAACAAGCAACAGGTGCTGGCCAGGATGCAGAGAAAAGGGAACCCTAGTGCACTGTTGGTGGGAATGCAGACCTGTGCAGCCACAGTGGAAAGCAGTTTGGGACTTCCTCAAAGAACTAAAAGATGGAACTGCCTTTTGATCCAGCGGTTTCACTACTGGGATTATACCCCAAGAATCCTAAAACACTAATTCAGAGGAACCTATGCACCCCTATGTTCATAGCAGTGTTATTTATAATAGCGAAGTGGTAGAAACAACCTGGGTGCCCGTAAGTAAATGAGTGGATCAACAAAAGACTGTGGTACATTTACACAATGGAATACTATGCAGCAGAAAAAAAGAAAGAAGGAACTCCTACCTTTCAGGACAGCATGGATGTAGAACTGGAGAGGATGATGTTAAGTGAGATAAGCCAGGTGGTGAAAGACAAATATCATATGATCTCACCTGTAAGTTCATGTAATTAACAAAACAAACAAATGAGCAAAAAAACAAACCCAGAGGCTCAGAAATAAATAACAAACTTACAGTGACCGGAGAGGAGGAGGAAGGGGGATAATGGGGGGAAAAAAGGGGAACATGTACAAAGGACCCATGGACAAGGACAATGGGGATGGGGTTGTCTTTGGGAGTGGGGATTGAACGGGGCAGGGGGGAGCAGTAGGGGGAAAATGGGGACAACTGCGACAGAACAATAAAAAATAAATATGTAGTGCTTTCAGGATGCATTTGAACATAAATGCTTATCAGTTTAAAATAGGCTGTTATAGGTGGATATATACGAACCTCATAGTAACCACAAACCAAACTACTAGAAAAGGTACACAGAAAAAAGAAACCTAAACAAAATGCCAAAAAGACAAGATCAAGAGAAGAAAAAGAACTACAGAAACAACCACAAACAATAAAACAGCAACAAGTACATACCAATCTAGAATTACTTTAAGCATAAGTGGACTAAATGTTCCAATCAAAAGACTGGATTAGTTCTAAGAATGGTATCAGTATAACTATGGTGGCTGAAAGGATACCAAAAGACCCAAAACTCACCTATATGCTGCTATAAGGGACTCACTTAAAATTGAATGGATGGAAAATTGAATGGATGGAAAAAGACATTCCATGCAAATAGAAATGGAAAGAAAGCTGGGTAGCAATACTCACATCAGACAAAATACAGTTTAAAACAAAGAGTGTAAAAAGAGACAAAGAAGGACATTATATGAAGGGCCATTCTGACAAAAATAGTAATATTTGTAGATATCTCTGCACCCAACATAGGAACACCTAAATATATAAAGCAAATATTAACAGATATAAGGGAGAAATGGACAGTGATACAACAGTAGGAGGGGACTTTAACATCCAATTTATATCAATGTATATGTCATTCAGACAGAAATCCAATAAGGAAACAGTGGCCTTAAACATCACATTAGACCAGATCTACTTAATAGATATTTCTAGAACATTTCATCCCAAAACTGCACAATACACGTATTTTTCAAATGCACATACAACATCTTCCAAGACTGATTAGGTCACAAAACAAGCCTCAATAAATTCAAGAAGACAGACCAATGCAAGCCTATTTTCCTAGCACAACAGTATGAAACTAGAAATCAACTATAAAAATAAAACTGGAGATAACACAAACATGTGGAGACCGAACAACATGCTACTAACCAATGATCAAAATAAAAATCAAACAAGAAATCAACAAATACCTTGAGCCAAATGAAAACACAACTTTCCAAAAATCTATGGAATGTAGCAGAAGCAGCGCTAAGAGGGAAGTTCAGTTACACAGGCCTATCTCAAGACACAGTAAGAATCCCAAATAAACAGCCTAACATTACACCTGAAGGAACCAGAAACATAAGAATGAACCCAAAGTAAATAAAAGGAAATAAAGACTAGAGTGAAAATAAAGAAAATACAGACTAAAAATATAATAAAGAGACCAAAAAGAAAAAAATCTTAGTGCTCATATTTGAAAGGATAAACAGACTTGGCAAACTTTTATCCAGACTCATCAAGGAAAAAAGCTGGCCCAAATAAATAAAATCAGAAATGAAAATGGAGAAGTGACAACTGATACCACAGAAATACAAAGGTGATTATTAAAGAATACTATGAAGAATATATGCTAATAAATTTTACAACGCAGAAGAAATGGATAAATTTCTAGAAATATACTCGTATAGTCTTCTGAGATGGAACCAGGAAGAAACAGAAAATCTGACTAAACCAATTACTAACTTCCAAAAAACCAAGTCCAGGACCAGATGGGTTCCTAGGTGAATTCTACAGAATATTTCAAGAAGTATTAACGCCTATCCTTAAACTATTCTAAAAAAAAATTGACACTTCCAAACTCATTGTATGAGGCCAGTATTACCCTGATAACAAAATCAGAAAGACACTATTGCGAAAAATTTATGGGCCAGTATCTATGATGAACATAGATGCAAAAAGTCTCAACAAAATGTTAACAAATTGAATTCAACAATATATTAAGATGATCACACACCATAAAGTGGGATTTATTCTAGGGATTCAAGGCTGGCTCCACATATCCAAGTCAATCAACATGATATACCACATCAACAAAACAAAGATAAAAATCATACGATCATTTCAAAGATGCAAAAAAGCATTTGACAAAATTCAACATCCATTTATGATAAAAAGTCTCAACAAAGTGGGTATAGAGGGAACATATTTTAACAAAATAAAAACTATGTATGACAAACTCATAGCTGACATCATACCCAATGGTAAAAAGCTGAAAGCTTTTTCTCTATGAGGAACAAGACAACCCCACTCTCACCACTTTTATTCACTATAATACTGGAAGTCCTTGCCACAGCAATCAGGCAAGAAAGACAAGGCTTCCACTTGGAAAGGAAGAAGTAAACTGTCACTATTTGCAGATGACATGATACCCTAAAGATTCCACCAAAAATCTGTTAGAACTAATGAATTCAGTAAAGTAGCGGGATACAAAATTAATATACAAAAATCTATTACACCTTTTTTTAATACTTCAGATATTTTTTATTTCTTAAAATTTGTTGTTTCTCAGGAGTAACGGAAATAAAAAATATAATTGAGTCCCACCATCACCATGGAAATGGTTTTAAGAGAAACCTGGTCAGATGAATATTATTGCTCCCCATTTTCAACCAGTAAATAGTTGCCACTGAAAAATAGACAGCCAACAACAGTCTGTCAAGAATGCTCAAGATATGTTACATAATACAGCATGCCTATTCACATGGTGGGGAGGAGGAAGATTACGAAATAATTTATGTGAACTTCTTGACTTCATCATACAAGACAAGCACAAAAGCACCACCCATGCCTCTGAGAACATTGGACCATGCGCTCTTGAAAAAAGCTTTGCCTCCTTCGTCACAGGCAATTTTCCTCCAGCAGCCGAGTATGCCTGTGTTCATGATATCAGTTCCTTTGCGCCCTGACTGCATCATCATGCGGCGACAAATAGTGTCAAACAGATAAGTCAACCCAGCCACTGCTGCGAAGGACTGTGCGATCATCCAGATGATGAAGATGTGAGTATTCTTGGGATCTGGAAGCATTCCCTTTGCAGTGTCACAGATACTGAAGTAGGCAGCTCGGTAGATGGTAATACCCTGCACAGACACATTAAAGCCTTGGTACAGGCCCTGGATCCCATCAGATTTGTAGATCTTAGTCAGGCAGTCACCAAGGCCTTTGAATTCCCTTTCGGTTCCAGTTTTGCCTACATCAGCTGCTAGACGGGTACGGGCAAAATCAAGACGATACAAAGAACACAAAGAAGTGGTCCCAGCACCACCACCAGATGCCAGATTTCCTGCAAAGCAGTGCCAAAACTGGGTTCTCTTGTCCACACCACCCAGGGAGATCTGCTTGTATTTATCTTTGAAGGAAAAGTTGAGAGCCTGAGTGGGGAAGTATCATGACACTGGCCAGGGTACTGAGCCAGAAGGACAGGACTCCCTGCTCCTGGGGGATACGAACCACGCAGTCTATAATGACCTTGTATTGCTTATCTGTGATGATTTGCTTGCTGGCATGCTGCACCTGGAGCAGCAGCTTGACCCGCTCGATGGGCGCTACCGCTGCTTTGGAGATGGCCGTGGCCACTCCACCTGCCAGGAAGTCCTTGGCAAAGGACACAGAAGCATCTGTCATGTTGAAAGGAATGAAGGAGCAGGAGAACACAGGATTTGGTTCATAACCAGCCAGGACTCTGGGACTCTCAAATCTATTACATGTCTGTAGGTTAATAACAATCAGGAGAAATTAAGAAAACAATCTCATTTACAACTGCATCAAAAAGAGTAAGATACCAAAGAATAAAATTAACCAAGGAGGTGAAAGACCTGTACACTTAAAATATAAAATATTGAAGAAAGAAATTGAAGAGGATACACAAAAAAATAGAAGGATATATACCATGCTCAGGTACTGGAATGATAATATAATCAAAATGTCCATACTACCCAAAGTAATCTACTGACAATGCAGTCTCTACCAAAATACCAATGGCATTTTTTTTCAGGACTAGAACAAATAATCCTAAAATTTAAACAGAACCAAAAAAGACCATGAATAGTCAAAGCAATCTTAAGAACAAAGTTGAAATATCCTACTCCCTGATTTCCAACTATATTACAAGCTATAGTTACCAAAACATTATAACGCTGGCACAAAAACAGATACATAGATTAATGGAACAGACTAGAGAGCCCAGAAATTAACCCTCACTTATATGATTAATTAGTCTATGACAAAGAAGGCAAAAATATACAATGGAGAAATGACAGTCTCTTCATTAAATGCTGTTGGGAAAACTGGACACTTTCCTACACTATATACAAAAATAAACTTAAAATACAGACTTAAATGTAAGATCCAGGTCCAAAAAACTCCTAGAAGAAAACATAGGTAGTAAGCTGTTTGATATCAATGTTAGTAGTATCTTTTTGGATATGTCTCCTCAGTCAAGGGAAAAAGAACAAAAATAAGCAAATAGGACCTTATCAAACTAAAAAGCTTCTGAGCAGTGGAGGAAACCAACAAAATAAAAAGATAACCTACTGAATGTGAGAAGATATTCACAAATGGTATGAACAATATAATTCATATCCAAAATATATAAGGCACCCATACAACTCAGTATCAAAAAACAACCAACCTGATTAAAAAAATGAACAAAATATCTGAATAGACATTTCTCCAAAGAGGACATACAGATTATCAGCAGACATATAAAAAAGGTGCTCAACATCAATAATTATCAGGGAAATACAAATCAAAACCACAATGAGATTCCACCTCACATCCATCAGAATGACTATCGTCAAAAAGTCAACAAATAACAAGTGCTGCAGAGGATGTGGAGAAAAGGAAACCCGCATGCACTGTTGGTGGGATTGTAAATTGGTGCAGGCACTAAGAAACAAAGTATGGAAATTCCTCAAAAAAATTAGAAATAGAACTTCCATATAACCCAACAATTTCCATTCTAGGTATTTGTCTGAAAAAAAAAAACACCCCAAAATACTAATTTGAAAAGATATCACCCTTAAGAAAAGATCATTACAGCATTATTTGCAATAGCTAAGCAACCAGTATAGGTGTCAACTGATAGATGAATGGACATGGGTAAGGAAGGTGTGGCTCATATACACAATGTAATACTACTCAGCTGTTAAAAAGAATGAAATCTTGCCATTTGCAACAACATGGATAGACCTAGAGAATATTACTCTAAGTGAAATAAGTCAAGACAGAAAAAGACAAATACTATATGACTTCTCTTATATGTGGAATCTAAAAAGCAAAATAAAGGAACAAATAAAATAAAAAACAGATTTACAGAAATGGAGAATAAACTGATGGTTCCAGAAGGGAGAAGGGAGGAGGCAATTTGTAAAAAAGGTGAAGGGGAATAACAGATACAAACTTCCAGTCACAAAATAAATAAGCTATGGTCCTGACTGGTGTTGCTTAGTGGGTTGAGCGTTATCTTTCAAATGAAAAGGTTGCCAGTTTGAGTCCACATTAGGGCACATGCCTAAGTTGCAAGCCAGGTCCCTGGCTGAGGGCATGTAAGAGGCAACCAATTGATGTTTCTGTCTCTCCAAAAAGAAATCAAATCTTTAAAAAATCATTAAAATAAATATACTATGGAGATGTAGTGTACATCACAGGGAATAGAGTCATATAGTCATGATATGGTAATAATTTGGCATGGTTATTGCCAAATGGCTACTAGACACAGAGTGGTTATTACATCTTAAGGTATATAAATGTTGAATCATTACATTGTACACCTGACACTAATATACTATTGTATGCCAACTCAACTTTAATAAAAATTTAAAAAAATTATTTGAGTACTTGAGCATGTGAAATAAGAAGCAAAAAGAGGAAGAGATGAAGAGTTACGATTAGAACAAGATGACGGAGGGTACATTCTGAGAGGCAGTTCTAAAAGAGTTAAGAACTTGGGATAGTAGGGGATGGCTGTGCATCTGGGAGAAGGGTCAGGATTCAACAAAGCCAGACTTGTAAATTCACCTGCTTGTCTGTACATGAGATAACCAGGGTATTGGGTGGGTTGGGGGTGATTTCCTTGAAGAGGGAAGTAAGATAAGGATGTTCTCAATGGATCATTGCAGTAGTTGGGTCGAAGTCAGTTGCTATTTCCTGGGAAGAAACCTGCCACCTGGGACATGAGGGATGGTCTAAGTTTGAGTATGAAAGTGATAGGGGAGTTTCCTGGACTGCAAGAAACAGAATTAACTGTGGTAAGCCTACACAGGAGGAATAATAACAAGTAAGGGGCACAGAGTAACAAGAATGGACAGGAGGTGAGAGGGGCAGCTGAAAACTAAAGGAAGTCACGTTCTCCCTTAACAATTTCAGGGCATTCTGAGGCCTGTACTTATTTTTTTAATTTCCGAAATAAAAAAAGAATTAAAACAGGCAGCAAATAAGAAACAAACAAAGTAGAACACAATCTAACTCACCTCTCTGGTTAACAGTTGGTTTTAAATATGATGGTTAAATCTTCAAGGTCTTCATTCTCTAAATGTAATTCTTCAAGCAGGGCGGCTATAAACTGTGTAAACACCGTATTTTCCCGAGAATGCTTCTGAATGCCAAGAATTGGGGTCAGTCTGAAACAACCAAAAATATTAACTACATATCCATGAAGTGGGAAGGACCAAGGGGTTTCTGTCTTCAACAGGCAGAGGGGTTTCTGCCATGTCAGAGAGAAGTCTCTCTGATTTAACAACATTCCCAGAATGAGGCTTTACTAATAAAAGCAGAAGAGAAACCTCAGGAAAAAAAAGGAAAAGTCAAACATATTATTAAGTATAGAAAGAAGCCTAAAAACCTGAATTTGTAACATGTTCTTCCCCATGCCAGCAAAAACTACCAAAATTCCGCTCAGAAAATTAACAAAGTCTTTCCACTTGGGGAAAGGAGGTTGTGGAGAGAAGCTTAGAGCTGAGAATTGCTTTAAAGACACAATTTATATTGAATGTTTGAATATCACCCGGAAAAAAAAATAAATTAAAAAAAAAAAGCAAGGTTACCTTTTAGATGAAACCTTAACATTTTTATTTTTAAAATACTAAAGAGATAATTACATCTTATAAGGCACTTAGTATAAACCTTATAAGGAACACTGTTTCTTTCTCTATTTCCAGTACATACTTAAAAGACTGATTCCATATAATAGACTCTTAAAAGTAATTTACATTGAGATGTGATGAATAAGCGTGATTTTCTAAAAAGTGACAAATCTAATCACAAAGATTGAAGAGCATTATTTTTCATAAATATTTTTATCTCCGGAGATCATGCTTTATAAAACTTGCATGTTACATTCTGGGAAAGCTTTTTGGGAAGAAAATTCTTTTTTTCCTAAATAGTCTTATACTTTGTACAAAGCTCTTACAGATGTTTATTTAATCGTGGTTATTGCCATGGGACATATCAAATATAAACAAAATAACTCTCTGATTTAAATCAATAAAGGTCAAGAAATCAGAGTAGAGCGATTCTGCAGTAGTGTGTATGGAATGGGAAATGTTATTTTCTGAGAGACAGGTTTCATCCTTGCTCAGCCATTTCATACAGAATACAAACGTAAAAATTTGTCAGAATTGTCCAGAAATGGCCAGAACTTTGGGGAGGTGGTAAATTCTCCAATTACGGTCTAGTGAAATCCACAGAGTTCTAAATGAAAAACCACTGTAATGTATTTTCCCCCCACCTCCACTGTATTTCTTTAGAGCTAGGGGATGGAGTACCAGGTTCTCACACTTCATGAGCTTTGTCTGCTGTTACTTCTCAAACATAGTTCATAATGGAAAACAGGGCTACCCAAGCCTTCCAAAACCAAGTTAGCCTCTTCAACAAATGGTGTTGGGAGAGCTGGACAGCTACATGCAAAAAAATTGAAATTCGACCACCAACTGACACCATACACAAAAATAAACTCAAGATGAATAAAAGACTTAAATATAAGTCGCGGCACCATAAAAGTCCTAGAGGAGAACATAGGCAGGAAACTCCCAGATATCCCACACAGCAAAATTTTTACTGATATGTCTCCTAAAGGAAACATAAAGGGACATAAAGGAAAGAATAAACAAGTGGGACCTCATCAAAATAAGAAGCTTCTGCATGGCTAAAGAAAACATCAGCAAAATGAAAAGGGAACCAACTGTACAGGAAAACATATTTGCCAATGATACATCAGACAGGGGTTTGATCTCCAACATATATAAAGAATTCACATGACTCTACTCCAAGAAGACAAACAATCCAATTAAAAAAATGGGCAAAGGACCTGAACAGACACTTCTCCAATGAAGAGATACAGAGGCCCCAGGGACATATGAAAGAAAGGATGCTCAGCATCACTAGCCATCAGAAAAATACAAATTAAAACCACAATGAGACACCACTTCACACCAGTCAGAATGGCCATCATAAACAGATCAACAAACAGTGGGTGCTGGCAAGGCTGTGGAGAAAAGGGAACCCTAGTAGTTGGTGGGAATGCAGAGTGGTGCAGCCACTGTGGAAAACAGTATGGAACTTCCTCAAAAAGCTGAAAATGGAACTGCCTTTTGACCCAGTGATCCCACTGCTGGGATTATACCCTAAGAATCCCAAAATACCAATTCAAAAGAACCCATGCACCCCAATGTTCATAGCAGCACAATTTACAATAGCCAAGTGCTGGAAGCAACCTAAGTGCCCATCAATAAATGAATGGATCAAAAAACTATGGTACATTTACACAATGGAATACTACACAGCAGAAAGAAAGAGCTACTACCCTTAGTGACAGCATGGATGGAACTAGAGAGCATTATGCTAAGTGAAATAAGCCAGGGGTTGAAAGAAAAATACCATATGATCTCACCTATAAGTGGAACCTAATCAACAAAACAATCAAGGAAAATATAACCATCAACATTGAAAGAAAAGAAACCAACAGAATCAAGAGGGAAGGAGGGAGGAGGGGCAGGGGAAGGGAAGGGAAGGGAAAGGTCAAGTCAAGGAACAGGTATAAAGGACCCATAGACAAAGTCAAAGTGGGAAAGGATTGAGGGAGGACGCGGGGGAGGGGGCAGGGGAAAGTGGTGGAGGGAAAATGGAGACAAATGCATTTGAACAATAAAAAATACAAAAATAGAAACAATGAAACAAAACCAAGGCACTTGGGTGGATGTAGGCAGTTGTGACCAGCTTTTTCCTGAGGCATCTTCCTGCAGAAAAGGTGTAATCCAGAAGTCAACTCTGCCTTTTCCCACACTTAGGTAACGTCGACATTTAAAATACCAAGTTGCTGCTTCCCCACAATAAGACCAAAGATACTGGGATGGGATAACATTGGCTAAAATAAAACCAAGAAGTCAGAAGAGGCAGATCAGATATATCAACTCCACAGAAACCTAGCTTTTGTGTGAATTTAAAATGGTACTTATATAACACAACTTGGATAATTTCTCTCAGTTTCATGGAGACTAATACTTGGTTCTTACATGAAAACAAAGTTTTCTCAGTGCCATTAGTATGTTTTAAAACAACCCTCAAATTAGAAATGGTGACTACTAGACTTTTCAACATTTATGCTCATAAGAGCAGAAAATGAGAAGAGATATAGAGAAAGAGCTTATAAATGTTCCATCAATTACCCTAGTCAGAAACTATGTCAGAAACAGTAATACTTTTCTAGCAAACTTACAAGGCTATATTTACTCTATATATAAGTTCATTATAAGATATGTTCAAATTTACCTAAAATTTCTGTTTATAAAGAAAAACTATGGTTAATGGGAAACTTAAGCTAGGAGTTAAAAAATAAAGAGGAAAGCAACAATGCAACCCTGTTCCTGAGCCCACAGCAAATCAATGTCTAATCAATCAGGCATTCTTTTCTTGATGAGCTAAAACCTGCTTTAAGAATCCTCACAACAGGTCTCTGAGCAACCACTTTGACTATTCAGAGCTGACTCCTGAGATGAAACCTATTCCTCTCTCAGTCTAACTGCAAGTCCTAAGGAGAACTGTGCCTCTACACAGTTCTAATCCTAGATCTGCCCAAATGTGTTATGATTTTGGGTAAGGTGAACATCAAAGCCTTAGAATCTATCTATAACATGGGGCCAATAATACTTAAGTTCCTTAAAAGTTATTATTGCAGTCCTGGCTGATGTGGCTTAGTTGGTTGGAGTGTCATCCTGTAAACTGAAAGGCCAAAGGATCAATTCTGATCAGGCACATGCCTAGGTTCCAGGTTGAGTTTCCCACTGGGAGCATGCAGGAGGCAACCTATTGAATTTTCTCTCTCACTTCGATGTTTTCCCCTTTCTTTCTTTCCCTCTTGCCCCCTCTCAGAATAGGTGAGCACGGTCCTTGGGTGGGGATAAAAAAAGTTATTATTGCGAAATTCAAGTAAGATACTGTAGATGAACAGTTTTTAAAAAAATTAGTATGACAGCCTTTCTGGCGGTGACAACCTCTCCATGACAACATGCGTCTCACTAAGGATCTCCTTCATTCCTCTCCAGAAAAGAGGAAACAAAAAATCGTGCAGAGCCCCAATTCCTACTTCATGGATGTGAAATGCCCAGGATGCTATAAAATCACCACTGTCTTTGTCCACGCACAGACAATTTTATGTGTTGGCTGCTCCACTGTGCTCTGTAAACCTACAGGAGGAAAAGCAAGGCTGAGAGAAGGCTGCTCCTTCAGAGCGAAGCAGCACTAAAAGCAACCTGAATCAAGATGAGTGGAGAACCATCCAAACAAACACATTTTGGATTAAAAATAATCAGTTATGGTAATAAATATCAATTAACATTTACCATCTACAATGATACTTGAGGAATGCAGTTTTTGCTCCCATTTTATGGATGAGGAAATGACGGAACAAAAAGCTGAAGTACCTTTGTCCAGGTCACAAAGATAATACATAAGTGGAATGTTGGCTTTGCACCTGGGCGGTTTTTCTCAAAAAGCCCATGCTCCTCCTGGCTCATATACCTGCTTTAATTCTTTGTAGAGGCTGCAAAGCACTCTGTAAGTTTAATCTTTACCTGACCGAGCTCTCAGTGAATATGCAGAAGGAACAGAATGTTTTAAATCTGCTTTAGAGAACTAAGGACAACAAATATAAAAATGACAAGTAACTAGTAGGAAGTGCTAATAGAGAAATCACACAAGTTTGGTGTCTGTTTGGAGAGAGGAATATCAACCTGGGGACTGGAGAGTTCTACAGCAAGTCACCAAGTAGATAAAGAGCAATCCTGAGGCATATGGAGCCAGTATTTCAAAGATGCACAAAGCTCTTCCAGATTTGTGAGCCAAATCCAGCTTGCTTCTTATTTCTGTAAATAAAGTTTTATTGAAAAACAGCCATCCCCACTTACTTATATATATTCTATGGCTGCTTTTGTACTATTATAGCAGAGTTGAGTAGTTGGGACTATAGGGCCAGCAAAGCTGAAAATATTGACAATCTGGCCCTTTATAAGAAGTTTGCCAACCCTTATACTAGGAGACTAATAGGTACCAATTTTAATTTAAAACTACTATAATGCTTTATATCTTATGGTTCTGATGATGAGAGCAATTAAAGCAGGAGGTGAGAAATCCAAAGGAACCATTTGGCTCTAGAATATTCTGGGCCTGGTCTGAGAAAGTATGGAAGATGCTTAAAGAAACCAAAACTATTTCATAAAATCTTCCAACTGGAGAGAGAACTTTCTCTGGCTTACTCCACTCTAGTCAAATTGACCAGCCTTGCCTCAGTTATGCCAAAGTTTAGTCTGTTCCCACTTCAGGCTGTTTTCTTTCCTGAGGAGGCTCTTCCCCCAGATCTCCACATGGTGGGCTCCTTCATGTGACTCAGTTTTGTTTAAATGTTACCACCTGAAATTGATCCTCACTCTCACCCTCTACTTATTTTGCTTTATTTGTCTACATAGTACTTACTCTTGTCTAATTCTATTACTAGTTTGTCTACCTTCTATCTCTGATATAAAAGAAGGTGAATTGTTATGAGGTCTATGACTCGTTCACTGTATCCCTCATGCCTGGCACACTGCAAATGATCAATATTTACTTGTTGAACAAAGAAACAACTTAAGCCCCAGCCAGGTGGCTCAACTGGTTTTGAGCATCATTCTGTACACCAAGAGGCTGTGGGTTCGATCCTTGGTGGGGGTACATATGGAAGAAAACCGATGTTTCTGTCTCACATCTTTCTCTCTCTCAAATCAATAAATATATCCTCAAGTAAGGATTTTTTAAAAAAACCAGCTTAAGAGGCCACTTATTTATTGTACTTGCTAAAATGTTTTTTCCTTTTCACAAAATTTTCCTCCTCTCCTTTTTAGAGAAAGGAACGGAAGAAATATTTTCTTGACTCCTCCTGCTCACACATAATGGTACATTCCTGCCAGAATGTTTCAGAGCATCTATCAGTGAGGTAAAGATGAGCCTCAAATTCATCAGGTAGATCAAGCATTAAATCAGAACCTATCACTTGTTCCTGCATTTCCCCTCCTCACTTCCACTTGTCCTGGAATTCAGTGTTGTCACGGAAGTGCTTAGATTGGTCGAGAGTGAATAGTGCTGTGTTAAGTGCCTTGAAAGTTCATGTCTCGGTTTACAGCTTTAATTCACTTCCAGTCCTGCAGAGAAAACTGTGGAGCAAGGGGTTGGCCCTGGGGCAGGTGCTGGATATGTTACTCAGGAACAAAAAGCACTGTAGCCTCACAGGTGAAATGTAAAAGGAGGAAATTCTTTTCATTCTAAAGGAGATATTCACTTGGCCAAAACAAAAAGCATTTTAGGATATCTATAATCCAACTAATATAGGTCTTTATTTCTGTGTATTTTTGGCTGTTTCTACTGTTCCTGAATGGGGTGTATTCTTATTCTTTTTTAGGTCAATGAAAGTAACAGAATGTAGCCACAAAACAAGAACTTGGCTGTTTTTTGGAATCTATACTTCCTTTTGGTTTCCTCCCATTAAGAGTTCAATGATTTAAGAAAAGAGATTCAAGATCCTTTCTTAATGTAGTGATTTGGTTCCTTTACACAGACTGCAAATAAACTACTCTTCCAGGTGTGTAGCATGTTGCAATGATTAATGAACTTTAAATTCTAGACATTATTCCTCATATATAATCTAAATATCTCTTGCAGAATTTTATTTTCTCCTTCATAGAATTTTTTTTGGGGGGGCAAGATCTTAATAGTTATTCCTTCATATTCTTGAAAATGGTTCTGAATTAATTCTAAGTCCTTTTAATCTTTCCTCATAGATGCCATCTGACTACTACCTATTCTGACTGCTAATCTTTCCTATACCCCCTTCTACAATAGCTTCTCATTTTCCTAAAATGAAGTGCCCCAGAATATAAATATTGTCCAAAATCATTACTTCAAAACATAAAACATATCTCCCACCCAACAGAAAAATATGAAATAAAACCTTGCACGTGCAAGTGATTTTTGAAGTACAATCACAGGATCTTATCCGACCTGTCCCCTGCCTTTTGTTAAATTGCTTATCCAGGCTCCTCCTTTCCCCTTAATCCTTTATCTTTACACTATTAATTATGATGTTAATCACTTAACATTTAACCCTTTTGTTAAAGTACAACTGCTATGCTATTATACACTGAAAAAGACCCTAGCTTCTTTCCAGTCCTGCAACTTTTAAAAGTGCGTATCAAAGAAACCACTGTAAGTGGGGCCCAAATAACCACTTCTACTTAAAGATAGTAATATACCAGAGTTGGTATTTAACAATGTGTTTTATGTAGGAAATACCTTTAAAACAGCAGAAAATGTGATTGGCCATGAGTAAAAACAAAAGATTTTTATGTTTCAATTTATTTCCTTCAAGTTCTTTTAAGAATGAATAAAAATTGCTAAGGGTGACACTAAAAAGATGGCTCATCACAAACAGTCTCTATGCTGTAGAATATAATTTGGAAAAAAAACCCCAACATAGCTTGCAATGTATAAATAACAAATGAGAGAGGCAACTTCTCATGAAAACACCAGATTCACATCTCCAGCCTGAAAAGATAGGCAGCCTTCTATAACTAGTTCTTTACCATATGGTAAGTGGCATGACAACGAAAGCAAAAAGCCAAGTGTCAAACTGTATCTCAATGATAAGACCTTTATTTAGCTGACTGCTCCACATATGCTGCACATCAAAAAGAGAGAATGCAAGTCAGGTTAGGACAAGTACCCTCCATTTGTTATTACTGAGCTATCAAACAACATCTGGTTAACAGGAATTATTATACACAGTAGTAAGAGGAGTTTCAAAGTTTTGACAACCTAAACAAGAAAGGTTTTTAATTTACAAGTGGCATTTAAAAAAATAGATCCAAGGATTTAGAGCTGTTCAAATGCTTGATTAAGCCTCAGAGTAAGTTAACTGCAATTTTGTGAGTCACTGGTTTGTATCTTATCAACACAGAAAGCAATATAACAGTTAAAGCTGTGGTGTGTACTGAGCAAGCAGAACTGAACAACTGATGGAACTCTGTTATCCATCTCCCAAATAAAAGTCAGTAATGAACCTGGATTTTTAAATGGTCTTCCCAATAATGGTCCCTATTGCTTTGCACATCTGCTTTTCATTCCCACTGGGGAATACACAAGGCAGCTCCAGGAACACTGGAAATCACAGCACGGTATGAATTATCCTTTCCTGAATAATCTGTGTGAAATGTGCAGAGATTACATCAAGCACTTCCCTGAATTGATATAGCACAGACATCTTCTACCATGATCCTCAAAACTAAGAGAAGCAAAAACTCTTGAGTTTCCTGAGTTATTAATTATTAATTTCCAAACTTGCAGAATCAAACTGGTAAGTTGTAAAATGACAACGAGCAACACTCCTCATACTTAATCTTAAAGGAAGAAAAACCTGTGAGAATGTCTAAGGGAACACATGTCACCAGAAAGCATGCTTCTCTATGGTTTGGGGTTGGAGGAAGGGACAGGAAGTGAAAAGCCACATACTTTCTGTACCTATCAGATTTGAGAAATTGCTGGGTTCACACAGAGTTCTGTTGCAGTAGGAAAACCTGCTCTGCTTATTACCATGCATAAAGGTGATAAACATGCAGAGACTGCTAAAGGATAATGCTGGGCTTAAAAGAATTTTTAACACTCACTCTCATCCCACAGAAGTTAGGGCTGGGAAGAAGGAAATATGAGGGATATTTCTGTTAAACAAAAATACTTTCAATGTTTACATGCACAGGCACTATGCTTGTCACTTATCAATTAAAACAGAACAGATAATACAATACCTGACCCCTTTGGGGGTTAGAATCAAACACGTTTTCTGGGACAGATGAGGTATCTTTAATAATAATGGCCTAGGTAAATCAAAAATCTAAAAGATGAGGTTTAACTGCATAGTCTTATTTTATGAGGCTATACTACCACTTACTTTCCTCAAGAGTGACTTAGTTTCAACCTAGTTAGTTTCCTTTTGACAGCTGAAGTAACTGAGGCTTTGGACAGAGTAAGGGATTTATCCAGGGTCACACTGGTTAAGAACAGTGCTAAAATGGACATGTTTATCACAAAGTCATCTTGCTTACCTATCAAGTTTCACTATTCATTTCTTCCCACATGGCAGTAACAATTGTCAGTTTAGTCATATTTTGTCTTGTAAAAAATGAGTTGGGATTTTCCTTTCTTCTCTATAGGGACAAGTGCTAAACATTAAAAGATCAAACCAGAATACCTCTGCACAAACATACACTCAAAACTGAAACAAAGAGCTGTGACCAGTGAGTGACACATGGGTCAAAATGTTATCTAGTTTCAGAAATTTGAGGGCCCACACAAACCCAAGACATTTTGCAAAATGCCTCTCTCAGATATTAAAAATTCTAGTACAAACTTTCAAAAGAAATTTTATCTGTATATTCAGGGCTCTTCATCATGCAAGTAATTAGGATTTCATATTTAACATAACTCTTTTTTCTATCTTTTTTTTTTTCCCTTACTGGGGGGAAGGCAGAAGAAGATTCAACTCTGTCAGTGACCCTGTAAAAACATTTGTCTAATCTGTGGCCCTGGCTTCCTCTCTCAAGTATCAGAGAAGCATAGGGAAAGAAACAAAAAAAATCACCCTCCACTGTGAAAGAGCTTTTCTTTTCCCATGAAATAACATGGACTGGGCCATGTGCAGCAGAAACTACTTCATTGCATTTTCCTAAGTTGCCGTGAATGTTGTTTTTAAGTAAAGAGTATACACATGGCTTTCCAATTGACAAGGAAACAAATGCCAAGTGCCTAGAGCTGAATTTAAAAGTAAGATACTTCAAAATGCATGGTGGGTGGATTTCTAAATTAAAGGAAATGAATGTTTCCTTTGAAGAATGCCATTTCTTTTTCCCAGGTGCCTTTGTGGCAAGATCTCAACCACTAAGTCAAATGTAAGAGGTATCAGTGATTTCCAAGTTTGTAAAAAGATTTTTTTCCTTATGAAAGTAGCTTGTTGGTTTTCAATCTTTTTAAAAAAATTTTTTTTATTGTTCCAATATATTTAAAAACAGTAGTTAGATGCCACGAAGTTAAGTGGTAACTCCGTAACCCTATGCATGTTGTTAGGCCCTTTCGAGGGCTTCTTCCATCCTTATGAAGGGGAGTGCTAACCTTCTCTCTTTTCATTCAACACAGTCTTCAAACTTTATACGAAGCTGCAGCAAGTGTTAACTCCAAAGTGAGGTTCAAGTGACGTTCTTAAGGTCACGTAGTCAGCAAGAGATGAGCAAATAAACCCAGAAGTACTCCCCACCAATCTACACTTCTAACCACTATACCACACAAGCTCACGTCTGATTCATTTCAAGAAATGAGTACATCTTATGATGTCAAGTGCTAATTTGTATATGCTCTTAAGTAAGTTTTCAAATCTAACACTACAAAATAAACTGTGCTGATGAAAACTGACAATTCTGTTGTTTCTAATTCATTCTTTCTCCTGACAGCCAAGAAGCACCTTACAACACAACTAAATGATGACTTAGAGGTGTCCAATCTTTTGGCGTCTCTGGGCCACACTGAAAGAAGAATTTTTTGGGGCCACACATTAAATACAAAAACACGAATGAAAGCAAAAAAAAAAATTTCATAACATTTTAAGTAAATTTACAATTTTGTGTTGGGCTGTATTCATTGCCATCCTGAGCCATATGAGGCCCACAGGCCGCATGTTGGACACCCCTATAAGAAGTGCCTCTAAGCAAGCATATCCTGGCAGACATAGCTAAATGAACTGATTAAGTATATCTCTACCTAGCACACTAATACTTGCACTACAATTAAGGATGGTTGTTCTCAACTGTGTCTGCACAAATTACAATCACCTGGGGAACTTAAAAAATATCTATGTCCAGGCCCTACCTCAGACCAATGCATCAAAATCTTTGCATCACGTTATCAGTTTTCTTAAAAAGCTCCCTATGTGATTCTAATGTACAACCACTGTTAAATTTTTTTGAAGTGGACTTCCAGTCAAGATGGAAAAGTAGGTAAACCGGGCTCACCGCCTTACACAACCACAACAAAAATTACAACTAGACTACAAAACAAATTATCATCCAAAATATCAAGCTGTATGGAAGTCCGACAACCAAGGAATTAAGGAAGTCACATTTATCCAGATGGGTAGTAGGGGTGGAGATGTGGAATGGATGGGTCTACACCCATGTGTGGTGGATAAAAAAAAGGAGGGATGCCTCAGGACAGAGGGATCCTGCCCCACACCAGATCACCCAGCCCAGGGTTCCAGTGCCAGAAAGATAAGCCCCCATAATTTCTGGTTATACAAACCAGTGCAGGTTAGGACGGAAGAAGAAACTGGGTGGGTAGGAAGAGTTTCTCAGGAGTCTCTTCTTAAAGAGCTGACAACAGACTTAGGGCTTATGCGGACTCACTCCCTTTGGGCTTCAGCACTGGGGCAGCTGGAAGGGCACCAGTGGCGTACAGGGAGAAACTAAAGTGTCTGGAATCAGGGCAAGTGCCAGGGGACAGCTACCTCCTGGACGAAACTCCAGAGGCCAGGCGGCGGCCGCTGTCCCCTTTCTGAGCCCTCCCTCACACAAAGCCGCAGAGTGGTGACACCGTATCTGAGACTCCACCAACCTGGTTCACATGGGTTGCCCCACCCCAGCGATTACCTAAGGCTCTGCTCCATCCAGCTAATGGGTGCAGTTTTCTACCATAGACCATGCTACTAAGACAGGGAGTCAAAACAGCTCTACCTAATACATAGAAACAAACACAGGCAGGCTGTCAAAATGAGGAGACAATGGAACATGGCCCAAATGAAAGAACAGAACAAAACTTCTGAAAAAGAACTAAACAAAATGGAGATAAGCAATTTATCAGATGCAGAGTTCAAAACACTGGTTATTAGTATGCTCAAGGAACTCACTGGGTACTTTAACAACATAAGAAAGACCCACTCAGAAATGAAGGTTACGCCAAGTGAAATAAAGAAAAATCTACAGGGAACCAACAGTGGAGTGGATGAAGCCAAGAATCAAATCAATGATTTGGAACATAAAGAAAAACAAAATATTCAATCAGAACAGGAAGAAGAAAAAACAATCCCACAAAACAAGGATAGGCTAAGGAGCCTCTGGGACAACTTCAAATTACCAACGTTCGAATCAGAGGGGTGCCAGAAAGGAAAAGAGAAAGATCAGGAAATTGAAAACTTATTTGAAAAAGTAATGAAAGAAAACTTCCCAAGTCTGGTGAAGGAAATAGACATACATGTCCAAAAAGCATACATGATCCCAAACAAGATGAATGTTAAGAGGCCCACTCCAAGACATGTCATAATCAAAACACCAAGGTTAAAGATAAAGAGAGAATCTTAAAACTAGCAAGAGAAAAGCAGATAAGTTACCTACAAAGGAGTTCCCATAAGACTGTCAGCTGATTTCTCAAAAGAAACTTTGTAGGCTAGAAAGGATTGGCAAGAAATATTCAAAATCATGAAAAGCAGGGACCTACAGCCAAGATTGCCCTACCCAGTGAAGCTATCATTTAGAATCGAAGGGCAGATAATGAGCTTCCCAGACAATAAAAAGTTAAAGGAGTTCACCATCACTAAGCCATTATTATATGAAATATTAAAGGGGCTTACATAAGAAAAAGATCAAAACTATGAACAATAAATTGTCAATACATATATATTAACAACTGAATGTAAAAAAACAAACTAAGCAAACAAGAAGAATAAAGACTCAATAATGGATATGGAGAGCATTTTGATGGTTTCCAGATAGGAGGAGGTGAGGGGACTAGTAAGTACAAATAGGTAGTTACAGAATAGCCATGGGGATGTAAAGTACAGTATAGAAAATGGAGTAGCCAAAGAACTTAAACACATGACCCATGGACGCAAACAATGGTATGCGGATTATCTGAATGAGTGGGGGGTGCTGTGTGAAGGAGGCAAAGAAGGAAAAATTGGGACAACTATAATAGCATAATCAATAAAATATAATTTAAAAAATCAGTAGTAAATTCTACCACTTAGCAGTTGATGACAACATATTTTGTCCCAGAAAACATTTAGAATGATTGCTCTAAATAAAAAATAGCATTAATCAATAATAAAAAACTGACAATAATATCTAATAAATAGATATTAGGCTAGAAAGTAGGCTAGAAAGGATTGGCAAGAAATATTCAAAGTCATGAAAAGTAGGGATCTATAGCCAAGATTGTTCTACCCAGCAAAGTTATCATGTAGAATCGAAGGGCATTTAATGAGTTTCCCAGACAAGAAAAACTTAAAGGAGTTCACCATCACTAAGCCATTATTATATGAAATGTTAAACAGGACTTATTTAAGATCAAAACTATGAACATTAAAATGACAATAAATTCACAACTATCAACAGTTGTATCTAAAAAAACAAACTAAGCAAACAAGCAGAACAGAAACAGAATCATAATTGTAATATATAAAACAGAATATAATTGGTAAGTACAGAATAGACAGGGGGAGGTTAAGAATAGTATAGGAAATGGAGTAGCGAAAGAACTTATATGCAAGACCCATGGACATGAACTAAGAGGGGGGACTGCTGGAGAGAATGGGGGTACCAGGTAGAGGGGGAAAATTGGAACTGTAATAGCATAATCAATAAAATATATTAAAACATTTTTTGAAGTGGATAAACACGTGCAGTTCTGATCATTTATTATACTTGTTAATTATATTGTTGGAAGAAAATGAATAGCAAAGGAAATGAGATCTTTAAATAAACATCTATGTAACGAAGCAGAAAGTAATACAGTCCAAAAGAAAGGTCTCGTCTACAGGAATTTATATAAGATAATATTTCATCCTCTACAGGTTAAGAAAGGCTTCTAAGGAGATGGTGACATGTGAATATTTGACATTTGAAGACTAGGAGTGACAGATATGAAAAAGGAAGGCATTTTATGCAGTTCACAATGCTAACAAAGATGCTTGTAGGGGGAAACAGTGGACATAATGTAAGGACACAAAAGCATAATAATTTGGATAGACAGTATAAGGCCACTTTAGGAAGGTCTTGAATGTCTAGCAAATTCACGTGGTAGGAGCTAGGCCATCACTAAGTTTCTGAACAAAGGCCGACCCTGATTAGAATTAAGCTTCAGTGAGCTTACTCTTATGGCTGGAGGAAGGATGAACTAGGTGAGGGCAGAAAGGCCTGTTTTAAAGGGCTATAATTGCAGCAATCCAGGCAAGTAAGAAAAAGGCTCATTTGGGCTTAGTAGCATTGGAAAGGTGAAAAACAACTGGATAAGAGAAGTTAAAAAAGGCAGGACTTAGCAACTGAACACATATGGAAGATAAGGGCAAGAGACGCACCAAAGACAAAACAGATTTCAATACTGGATAATCAGGAAGATGGAAATATCACTGGAGAAGAAGGGACATTTGAAAGAAGATGAGCTCACTTTCCAGTTTGAGAGTTTGAACTGCCTGACAGGCATCCAAATGGAGATGCCCAGGAAAAAATAAGAAGTAGAAGAAAAAAGAAAAGGACTTCAATCTAGGAGAGATGTCAGAGCTGAATATGTTGTACAACTTTGGGGGAAGAGCACAAGATATATTTGACTAGGAAGACCAACTTTTTCCTCTAAGGTAACTCCATCATCCTGTACCAGTTATGTTTGTACTGATTTCTTGAACTAATCTCTTTCACGACCACAATTCTGAATCTTTATATTCTTCTCTTATCTTTCCTATTCATCAAAACTACAACTGGAGATCAATGCTATGACCTGCTTTCGTCACACCTACAACAGAGGACAGAGGAAAACTACTGAGGGGAGGGAAGTGGGAGGAAGGAGGGAACTTTGAGGATTGGTACCACTACAAATCCATGACCTTTGGCTTCATCTGGGCACTTGGTGTCACTTGTTAATTTTCTCTGGCCCTTAGTTACTTTTCCAGATCCACTCAATGACTACTCTGTTTCCACCACTTATATTCTCTACCCAACTACCATCTCTTTACTCTGAGAACCCAAGCACATATCCTACCCTGCCTTCTTAAACCATGAAGTCAGGCATTTTAAAATCTCTTCCTTCAACTTACATATTTACCTATAACCACATATCCTTCATTTTTTTCCTTCCTGTCTCAGAAGATGTAGCCTT